TTCTCCCAAAACTAATGAACCAATAAAGAAATGGGCAAGTGAACTAAACAGAACTTTCTCAAAAGAAGAAATTCAAATGGCCAAAAAACACATGAAAAAATGCTCACCATCTCTAGCAATAAAGGAAATGCAAATTAAAACCACACTAAGATTCCACCTCACCCTGTTAGAATAGCCATCATTAGCAACACCACCAACAACAGGTGTTGGCGAGGATGCGGGGAAAAAGGAACCCTCTTACACTGTTGGTGGGAATGTAAACTAGTACAACCACTCTGGAAAAAAATTTGGAGGCTACTTAAAAAGCTAACATTGATCTACCATTTGATCCAGCAATACCACTCTTGGGATATACCCAAAACTGTGACACAGGTTACTCCAGAGGCACCTGCACACCCATGTTTATTGCAGCACTATTCACAATAGCCAAGTTATGGAAACAGCCAAGATGCCCCACCACTGACGAATGGATTAAGAAAATGTGGTATCTATACACAATGGAATTTTATGCAGCCATGAAGAAGAACGAAATGTTATCATTCGCTGGTAAATGGATGGAATTGGAGAACATCATTCTGAGTGAGGTTAGCCTGGCCCAAAAGACCAAAAATCGTATGTTCTCCCTCATATGTGGACATTAGATCAAGGGCAAACACAACAAGGGGATTGGACTTTGAGCACATGATAAAAGCGAGAGCACACAAGGGAGGGGTGAGGATAGGTAAGACACCTAAAAAATTTGCTAGCATTTGTTACCCTTAACGCAGAGAAACTAAAGCAGATACCTTAAAAGCAACTGAGGCCAATAGGAAAGGGGACCAGGAACTAGAGAAAAGGTTAGTTCAAAAAGAATTAACCTAGAAGGTAACACACACGCACAGGAAATTAATGTGAGTCAACTCCCTGTATAGCTATCCTTATCCCAACCAGCAAAAACCCTTGTTCCTTCCTATTATTGCTTATACTCTCTCTACAACAAAATTAGAAATAAGGGCAAAATAGTTTCTGCTGGGTATTGAGGGGGTGGGGGGAGAGGGAGGGGGCGGAGTGGGTGGTAAGGGAGGGGGTGGGGGCAGGGGGGAGAAATGACCCCAGCCTTGTATGCACATATGAATAATAAAATTTAAAAAAAAAAGTTACTTGTGGCTGGTCTGAAGGTAGTGAGTTATCTCAATTGATTGTTCAGACAGTTACAGATACAAGTCCTTATTTTACACTTCCCCCTGCTCACTACTGCACTTGGCTAGTCTTTAAAATAAATAAATAAGTTACTTGCTAAAAAACTTACTTGTCCAAGAGGTATTCATCTGAATGGCTGATGTAACACATTGCAAGTGCACGTGGCAGAGAATGGGGGAAGGCAGGCATGAAGGAAGATCTTCCTGAATAGTCATGTTTTACAGTTTGATTTCAGACTTCTGTCAATGTTCTTAGCTAATTTTTTAAAGCTAAACTGTACTGGAAACAAGCAAGTCTTGCCGAACATCAAGTTGGAGGTGTAACCACCAAAGGAGAATCTTCTCAGTTAAGTTTGAAAGCCGGGACCACCAGGATTGGAGAAGTGCCTCTCAGAAGTCTTACCCCATGGAGGCCTTGTTCTGAAATACACAGCTGATATGACCAGTGGCATTGGGTCAAAGAGCTTTGACCATGTGGACAGCAGAGTGGCTCTACTCAAGAGAGTGAGGCCAATAAGTAAACATATTGAAGAGAACAGGAGCTGGGCTTTTGCCAGCAGAAATGGACATGATGGACATGTGGAAAGACAGCAGGAACAAGCCCTGTGGTGACTAGTGTTGGGGAAAGTGGTGTGAGGCCAGGGTCTTCAACCACACACAGATTTCTACATGTCATACATCCATGATATGTACAAGTGTGTGCGTACAGGCATATACACTCCTGGTCTCTGCTAAGTAGCAGTGACAGCCAGTAGCAATGAGAGTGCCTGGCCTGCAGACCTTGATTTCTAAGCTTCATTCTGCATTGCACAGCTAAAAGGAGCTGTAGCTAAATGGCCGATTTCTGAAATGGGACAGGGAAATGCAAAATGAGCCTGGAGCTCCTGGTTGTACCAGGCAACAAGGAAATGTCCACAAGACAGGAGCTACAAGATGACTGTGAACAACAAAATCAACAAGGAGAGCAACAAAGTGAATCAAGCAAAAAGTCATAGTCAATAGAACACAGGGGAACAAAGGGATGGAGAAGTGAGTGCAATCACAAATGCAGGATAAAGGCATGACTGGCAGATCACCGGGCGCACCAACACTGATTTAGGCAAGACAACCAGCAAGCACTAGGAGCTACTGGTACAACCTTGAGGAAGAACAGGATATCTACATGGTCTCAAAGTATCTCCTGACAATATACTGAAATACTTACTCATTACTTTCTAATTACAAAGGAAAAATACTTAATAAATTTTACAGGGATGAAGTTTGGCAAGGGGTCATCTTAATTAAATGAAAAAGTTAACATTATCAGTAACAAGACAAATTGACATTGTGTTCCTCCCGGTGTGGTATTCTGAGAAGAACAAAAGAACACCTATTGTGTTCCTCCTCCAAGAGCACAGCTTGTGTCTAGTCACAAGCACACACTAGACAAGCCACACTGAGAGCACTGCACAGGATGACTGGCCTGGACGCTCAGCACACCCACAGCCAGAGAGCAGAGGATGGTGGCAAGCCAACCAGGATTGGCCAGGGCTCTGGAAGCCTGGGTTGGTAAACGACTGAGCCATGGGACATCAGAGGAATGTGAATGGGGCCTCTGACAAGATCACCTCAATGGCAAGTTCCTGATTTTCACAGTTCCACATGCTCAGAGAGATGAGCACTAAGGTTCATGGCATAGGGGCGTTAGATGATAACTCACTCTCAAATTGTTCAGAAGACATATAGAGGAAATGAGGGGAGGGGAGAAGAGGGGAGGGGAGGGGACTAACTAACTGGGAAACTGGGGTTAATTATATCTGAGGATTCTTACAGATTTTCTGTAGGTTTGACACTACTTCAAAAAATTCTAAAGGCAGAGGAGTTAACTTGGTAAAGATGGGAGAACAGTTTTAGCATCTAAAGAGTAATGCCTGCCTAGAATGCGATCTAAATACAAAACCCATGAGTTCACAATGAGATGCCAAAAACCCCAGCTGTCAGATTTCCAGGCCATCACTAGCTGTTCTGAAACTTGATAAATAGAGGAAATGAATCTGACATTTCTCTTGACCTTACAGGACAAAGTATGGTTCAGGATGGCCAAAATGCCAACAGAGCAAGTTCCTGTTTACAGACAAATCCCAAGTCCAATTAGAGGATGGGAATTTCTCCATTTTCCACCTGATGGAGTAACAGGCACAGGCCATGGCCCTCAGGATGGTGGGTAGAAAGCTTGTAATGGACATACCAAGCCATCAACACCCAAGCACAGCCATTCAGACAACTAACCAACGTGGCCTCCACGGTGACTCGGGCAGCCCACACTCACGGCAACTCCAGCAATGGGGACAGGGACCTTAACCCTAAAAGGCTGACAATATCAGTGAGAAGCCTATGCACCAGACAATGCTGGGGACTTGTGTAAATTCAGGCAGTGATGAGGGTATGTGGGCAGGATTTTTAAAACTTCTTATCTATTAGAATAAATACATAAAGAGCAACTATGGGTAAACTAATGAAATTCTGGGGATTTCCCCCACAAAAGTCCAACTTCATGTGAAGGGATCATTTTGACAGAAAGATTATTTTAAAAGAAAACATCTGAAACCTTATTTGAACTTCCCTTGTCTAAGTTAAGCCTCCTGAAAACACAGCTGCCATTAACCAGCAAGGAGACAGACTGTCCAGTCCCTTAATATCAAAAAACCCAGAGTCTTCTCCACCCTCCCACAGCAGCCAGGCCCTCACCCTGCTGCTCAGTTGGTGTATGAAGCCATGTCTCTGGGAACTCAGCAAGCTTCCTGGGGGCATGTGAGAATGAACCTCATCTCTGCCCCATGGATCTGTCTGTTGACTGTCAATTCACTTGCAGCAGGTGGAGAAAAGTATTCCTCCCACCAGTTCTGGAACAAGGATGGGATGGCTGGGACTTCCCACACATGGAAGGAAACTCCCACACCAGATTTAGTCCACAGTATGAAATAAAGAACAGAGACATAATTCTTCCCGTAAAGGCAAAGACCTGGCCCCATATGTAAATAAAATAAAGCAAGCTTTCACTGGCTATGGGGCATTGTGGGCACAGGGGTTGGGACTGTGGCCACAGTACAACTCAGGAAAATGGCCCTTGGGCTGCCTCCAGTCAGGACTGCACTCAACTTAGTCCTTAGGACAGCAAGGGAAACTAAAGTTTGTTTTTTACTTTCAAATTAACAAAATGACATTTGTCTATCACCACCACCACCACCACCCCAAAAAAATCACTTCAGAAATTCCCATAAAAGGATAGTGCCTCAGGTACTCCTAAGAATGATCTACCAGCAGGCTGTTGATAGGTGCATACCTTACAAACACAGCCTTGGGGAAGGAAGGTGCTAAGGGTTAACTCTTATTTCCAGGAAGGACCTCTCCTTCCATCTCATATACAGACACACACACACACACACACACACACGCAGGGAATGATGAGGGGGGTGAGGTTCATGAAGTGGTCGGATGCCATGACAGCTGTGCTTCATGTGCTTCAGTGGCAAAGCCACCAGGACCACAGGCTTCATGCCCAGAGTTGGAGCTGCACAAAGACAAGTTGCCAGGGAACCATGTCCACACTGGACACCACATAAGCTGTGCCAGAGTCTGGCCACAGCTGTCACTGTCCTGCTGGAACATAAAGAAAGGTGCCTTCAGGCCCCTGTCCTACCTGACCCCTTCCCTCCAGGAGAGCAGAGAGGGAGGTCACGGTAAATGAGCTCCAGGGAACTAACAACACACTTGGCTCAGTCAGTCTGGAAACACTCACTGCAAGGCCATGGGACAATGGCCGTCTTCCTCTGCTCCCTTTACCTTGGCATGTTTTGTGGGCATGGCACTCCACTTCCCAGGTGACCGAGTGTCCGTGCTCTTCTCAGAAGTCAGCTCGGCAGAGGCCTATGAGAAACGGATTAGTACAGGGTCAGAAGGTAGTTTCAGTGAGTGACCAGCATTCTGACACTTGGGGCTAAGAGCTCCTGGGTGTCACCCTGTTTACTCTCAAGCCAGCCTGTGGACGGCAGGGGTCACTGAACAGCCTCACCCACAAGACAGGAAGCAAGGCTGTTATGAGCTCATTGAAGAGCAGATCTGGAATGGTCCACATCTCTGCCTGGAAAGAGCCAAGGTCTGGTCTTGGCCACTTCCCTATGGCCTGTTTGGAGCCAGCCTGATGCCTGAGAGCCTCTAGGAGTTCCAAACCCTCATACGTAACGATCATCATCCTACAGAACTGCTCCTGAGGTCAGTGAGAGCCTGAAATCCGTGTGCCCCCCCACACTGCCACCATCACCACAAGCACATCTGGCGTGTGCATTCCCAGCCCCTCCATGTTGGTTCTATGTAGAGAAGCACATGATGCAGAGAGAAGGGGCCAACCAGAGACTGGAGAGAGTGAAATGCTAGGGCCTTCAACCCATTGACTCTCCAGGCTTACAAAGAGAGGAGCCCGCTCAGCCTGCCCCGACACCTGCCAGGTGGGAAAAGAAGGATCTGGACTGCCTTGCCAAGCACAGGGTCCAAGCACTTTCTGAACAACAAGGGGGCAAATGAGGACTGAGCCTCGCTACAGATGGGGATGCTGCAAAAGCAGGATCCCCTTTCATCAATTAGCCAGATGAAATTCCCTGTTGTGCCTGCACCCAGCACCTGTGTTGGAGCTGGTGGGCCTGCAGAGAAGCTCTGGTACTTGAAGGGGATGTGGGTAGTCTCCCGGGGGCGCAAGTAGAGCTGGGGGGCCAGGCTTCCACGCAGGTGGAACATGTCTTCCTCTAGCGGCGTGTGCAGGCCAGCGGCATCTTTGAAGAACCTCCACTCTTGACTGTCTAGGATGATGCTAGAAGGAAGGGGACCAGTGGTAAGGACCCATGCTGTGAGGGGAGGCATCACGCCACCCCAGAGCTGTCTCAGGAGGGGACAGGTGTCAACAGCTCACCGGACATGCAGCTCCAATTGCACAGAATTGGGCGGGGATTGGGCAGCTCTCACCTGAGCTCAGGGTTGTCAATCTCGATGGTCACTGTGTGCTGCATGTTGTAGGGGTTTTTAAGCGCAAACTCGAAGAACTCAGCTGTGCCCGGCGCGGCATAGAGTGTGCGCTGTGTGGTGATGGCCAGGCTCAGCACACTGGCAATGCTCTCGGCTTTAGTGCGCTCCCGGTAGGCGTTGATGACTTGCAGATCCCTCGAGTGCTGTGCACGGACACTCTGCTGGGCCTGCCAGACATGAGAAGCCACCTGGGTGGACAGGTCAGGCACATGCTCCTCCCTGTGGGGCTTGATTTGCTGACCTGCACTCCCCTAGGATACCAAGATTCTTCTAGAAAATCACCTCCCCCTTCCTTGACCATGTGGTGGGGAAACCGGTCCACCCTCACTCTGGGGGAACAGGAAACAGGGCATATCTCCCCCTCCATGGGGAAGTCTACACAGACCCCCACAGAGGATCTGCCCTGCATGTTCCTGAGACCCACTTCAGTCAGGGGGAACTAATTCAAATAAAGAACAGCTACAAAACTAAGCCCTAGTGACAGGGCTCTGCTGAGGTCTCCAGGAGATGTCAAGAACCTATCGATAACCACAGAAGGGGGATATCCAACAGGAGTGAGATGTGTCAGTGTGCCGATCCCAGCATCCAGATCCCCTCTCACTCCAACAACCAGCCTTGGCAAGGCTTGCCACTTCCTGCCTCACGTGCCCTGAGAGTCAGGGGGCTTCAACATAGGCGTGATTTATGGCTTGTTTTCTAGTGGACTTTACATTAAAAAGCTGTTTTACAAGACCAAAAGCCTAGAAAGGGCCTCTTTCATGCCAGGAAGCCCTGGGTTGCAATTACCCCAAGATCCACTTAGCCAGGACCTACAAGCCTCCTACCCAGCACTGAGGAGGCTGAGACAGCAGAAAGGGAGGAGAAATTGTGATTTCTTCTTAAATGATTTTGATCCTGGCTTTCCAACGCCCAAGCACTCCCAGGGAGCTGGAGTCGGAGGGCACAGAGGCCTCCCCGGGCGTCTGAGCACTAGAATCTGTCTGCACAGTGGAGCTGCCAGTTGGGCACAATGACCCACAGCATGAGCCATGTGTTAGGATGAAGGACAGAAAGGAGTGGCTTTTCAACCCTGCAACTGGCACAGTGCACTGTTTTGACTACCGAGGAGAGGAACCGCACCTATCTGCCCACCATGAAGCAGTCCCTAGAACAACACAGTAGCAGGCTTTAGGGAATGGCCACTTGCAGCTGGGCACAAGACTGACCAATGAGACTGGCTTTCCCAGGCAGGACACAAACAGGGCCATTCCTCAGTCTCCCGGGGTCTTGATGGAACCTAGAGTGGTGAGGGGCACTGTCTTGCCCGCTCCTATCTCCGTAAATCAGAGGTGACATTTTAGCCTCCATCGGCTGGACTCATAGCTTATTTCTTGTTCAGTTCAAAGCCCAGACAGATGGTGAAGGTATCTATGGGGCTTCTCAGTCCCCAGCAGTCAGCATGTCCCATCAAGGTCCCAATAATGACTCAGGGATGGGCATGTTACCCAGTCACAGCAGCGAGACCATGAGTCACTTGCTGGAACTTCTGGAAAGCAAAGTTCTCTCTTCCTTAGCACCTGGCATGATATGACAACACAAACCTTGGAACTAGTCACTTGGCCACAAGCCTGGAGCTACTGGTATGTCACCTGGGGAGCTGGAGACGGTGGGGAGGACCTGCCCAAAGTCGGCACCACCCTGGAACTGTGCAAGTGCTACATCAAAAGGCACAGTGGTTCGGGACAGCTGCTAAGCCTGCAGTGGTTAGCTGGGCCAGGAAGCACCCACTGTTGCAGGCCGCTGTGTGCTAGGTTTTCTGTTTGCTGCAACCCACCAAGGTCTCTCCCAAGGAGGCCCACCTAGGAGCCCTTCTTCCCAACCTAGGCTCCATAGAGAAGGTGGTCTCCATACAGCCTGCAGATTCACATATGCAAGTCTACTGCAGTCACTACAGTGACTACAGTCACTACAGCCGATATCCTGAGTACGGAGTACCCAGCAAGCTAAGTGACCCCATGAGGAAGGTGATGCACAGAGGGACCAACTGTGCCCAGACACTGCAAGAGTTGGGCATCAGGCAGGTTTCAGGCTCCCTAGTATTTGCTCCCTGCCTACAAGCCATATGACCTTTCTGCCAAGAAGCCCTGTGACACATGGCCTCCTGACCAGTCTCCTCTCCCTCCAGCCAATGCAGACTGCTGCATAAACAACTCTGGGGGGGGGAAGAAAAGTCCAGAGTTGTTCACTTCCCTGGTGCCCAACCTTCAGTGCCTGAGACTGTCCTAGGAGTCAAGGAACTTAGAATACATACTGAGGACTAGGCAGGGGCATGGCGAGCCAGCTCAATAGTAGCACCACTGAAGTTCTCTTTCTGAGCATAGGCTGTGATCGTTTCTCTAAAAGATGGTCGTGAAGGCTCTAAAAGCTAAAGGAATCTCCACATACTTGACAGATCAAATTACTTTCCCCGCAAAATTCTGTAGGCTCTACAGGGTGCGGTGGCTCTTGCTTGTAGTCATAGCTACTCAGGAGGCAGAGATTGGGGGGATAGCAGTTCAAGGCCAGCTGAGGCCAAAAGTTTATAAAACCCCTTCTCAACCAATAAAAGATGGTATGGCAGTACTTGCCTGCCATTCCAGCTAGGCAGGAAGCATAAATAGGAGGATCATAGTTCAGCCTGGACTGAGCATAGATGCAAGACTCTATTCATAAAATAAGTGAAGCAAAAAGGGTTGGTGGCCGAAGTGATAGAACACTTTCCTAGCAAGTGTGAGGCCCTAAGTTCAAACTCTAGTACCTCAAAAAAATAAAAAACAAAAAAATCTGCAGACTGTCAACCCAGAACATCATGGTGGAGAATTTTCTTGTATTCAGTGATCCATTAACTTCCAAACCCATTGCTGTGTCCCAAACAAGGGCTCTGGGTTGCAGCTTTCTCTGGCACAGCACACAAGAGGGAACTGGCCACACTGGTAGTAAGGGCAACACAACACCATGGCTATCCCACTGAGGACTTGCTATGTGCCAGGCCTCCCACTCTTGGGAACCTATGACAGCTGCCAGAACCAAAGCCATCCACAGCCTGCATGGTAGCGAGAGGGATAGTGTGCACAGAGGCAGCAGAAGCCCCACTAGAGCCTGATCACACTGCCTCTCCTTTGTCCTCACTCCATCCCACCCACCCGTGGGCTCATGCAGGCCTCACTCTGTGTCCTCTTGCTGGGCCTTCTTCCCTTCCCCATCAATCTAAACTGACTTGTTCTCTGCCTTCCCCACTCAATCTCCAGTCTGTGGGTGGGGGCCAAAGCTTCTCCATCCCTGGACACACCACGGGCCTGGCCCCAGCAAAGGCCAAGCAGCCCCGGCTGACACAGGCTTTGCCTAGAGGTCCTCAGAGGCAGCAGCTGTGGCTGTGTAGATCCAGACACCTGCTAGCCTTACTATGACAGGAACCCTGAGTGCTCGTTCCCAACGTCCCTGGGCCCCTTTCCTCTGTGAAGCCATGAGGCACAACCATTCTCTCATTGAAGGATCTATTCAGATGCACAGTCAGAAAAGGGGAAGTCTAGTGCTGAAAGTGACCACACTGACACCCAAGACACCAAATCTCTAGCCCCCAAAACCGTGGACCAAAAGCACCTGCAGCCTTCTTAAAAACACAGACTCTGAGCACCCAAAAACCAGCTGGAATCAATCTCCAGCAAAGCCAAAGAACAAGCTTTTCTTTGGGAGTCAGGGGTGGTGTTTGTTGTTTTTTCTAAGACAGGGTCTCACTATGTAGCCCAGGCTGGTCTGGAACTTACAGTGTAGTGCAGGTTGGCCTTGAACTCATGATCCTCCTGCTCCAGCCTCCCAGGTACTGGGATTACGATCCTACATCACCATACTTAGCTCAAGAACCAGTATTTGTTTTTATTTTGGCAGTACTGGGGGCTCGAACTCAGGTGTTCTACCACTTGAGCCATTCCACCAGCATGAACCAATCAGCTTTCCTTAAAACCTCTCTTGAGAATTCCAACCTGAAAATTGCTCCTGGTGGCTCAAAAGTCCAATTCTGTCCTTTCCTGAAATTAGGATTTGGGAGGAAGGTGAGACAGCTTGCAACTCCTTGGTCTCACAGGGAGACTCCGCAGACTGGTGTGGTGGCAGACCCTTACCAGCATGTTCATCCTGCGGCCACTGGGCTCCCCTCTGGACTCCTGCAGGCGCACAGACCTCATCCTCTCCAGCTTGCGTCTGCGGACAGTATCAGCCTCATGGTCCATGTGCCGGGGGCCCTGGCCAGCTCGAGTATGGGTCAGCAAAATGGCAGCCAACTCACTGTCCACATCAGCCAGCTTCTGTGCTTGGACCACATTTTTTCCTGCTTAAAGAGTCAAGGAAGGGGTCGGGGTCGGCGTGTGGAGACTGTGCTCTATGAGCACTCAGTGATTGGGCCCACTTTGTTCTGGCATGGCGTTCCATGGGTTTTTTGGTAGGTTCAATCTATGTAATTCTAAGATGCTGATAAAGATGGCAACCTCACAGACCAGTTCCTTCTTTTGTAGGGAGGGTTTAAGTTGAACTCAGGGGTTCCTCTCAAATCAAAGGAATTCTGATTCTAGTCATTAGATTTGCTGAGTTAGTCACACATTATTTTCCAGGGAAAACTCATGTGCTCAGAATTTAAAGGGCCCACCAATGTCCTTACCCAGGACTGTGCCCTCAGCTCAGAAGCAGCCTCCCAGGGAGCCCCGTCTGCAGGGCAAACACCTCTCGGGTGCATCACAACACTGGATCTTCAACTCAACCCTGTGTGTGGGTGTCACAGGCCCAAAGTTCAGATGAGGAACTGGGGCTCTGTGGGCTGTGCCCCTTGGCTGGAAGTCTCCCTACCTGTCAGAGGCAGAGGGAGTTCAGACCAGGCCTGGCTTCAATGCTGCTCCCAGCTGCCCCTGGGGTACCTGAGACCTAGAGCAGCCAGTCTCCTTTGGGGTACTTCTATTCAAACCCTGAACCCAGTAAGAACCGTTTAGCAGAAAAGCAAAAACTGAACTGGGCCAGGCACCACAGGCAGGAGGGAAGCTACCTGTCCCTCCTTCCCACAGAACTGGACTAAAGGTATCAGTGGGACTATGCTCAGTGACAAGGCCATGTCACAAGTTCACACATGAGGTTCCCTAACAGTCACCCAGTTCAGGCAGAGCAAGTGAAAGGGGCACCCCAACATAGGACCTGGGACTCCCACCTCACAGGCACCACCAGAATTTCCCAGGGAAACTGTCACCAGCATGGGCTCTCAAACATCAGTCTTGCTGACGTGCTCCATATGGGCAAAATGTTTTCCTCCCCTACTCACCCACCACTCCCTCTGTCACAAGGAAACGTGCGCTATTTCCAAGTTCTACATCATCACTCTGTTTTAAAGCCATTTAATTGGTTTTCAGATACCACAGCTAGTTAAGATGTCTTAAAGGACTGACCCAAAAGAGCACTTCGTGGTGTCAGGGCATGACGTGAGGAGAAAGCAAGCCCAGCTGGAATCAGATCGGAGCCACTCATGGCTCAGCCCAAGTGGAAGAACCAGGGTAGGAGCAGCCACCCAGATAGGGTTAAAGGCAAGCTCAAGAGTTCCAGCATGTTATCATTCCCTGGTAAATGGATGGAATTGGAGAACATCATTCTGAGTGAGGTTAGCCTGGCCCAAAAGACCAAAAATCGTATGTTCTCCCTCATATGTGGACATTAGATCAAGGGCAAACACAACAAGGGGATTGGACTATGAGCACATGATAAAAGCAAGAGCACACAAGGAAGGGGTGAGGATAGGTAAGACACCTAAAAAACTAGCTAGCATTTGTTGCCCTTAACGCAGAGAAACTAAAGCAGATACCTTAAAAGCAACTGAGGCCAATAGGAGAAGGGGACCAGGAACTAGAGAAAAGGTGAGATCAAAAAGAATTAACTTAGACGGTAACACACATGCACAGGAAATCAATGAGAGTCAATGCCCTGTATAGCTATCCTTATCTCAACCAGCAAAAACCCTTGTTCCTTTCTATTATTGCTTATACTCTCTCTTCAACAAAATTAGAGATAAGGGCAAAATAGTTTCTGCTGGGTATTGAGGGGGTGGGGGGAGAGGGAGGGGGCGGGAGGGGGTGGGGGCAGGGGGGAGAAATGACCCAAGCCTTGCATGCACATATGAATAAAACAATTAAAAAAAAAAAGAGGTCCAGCATGTGTCACTTCAACAGATGCCTTCCTGACCCCGGGACCAGCGCTGAAGTTTCAGTGTAAAATGCAGATCACACCTGCTAAGAGGCAGAAAGCACCTAGAACCTTCTCAAAAATTTTGTATACCTTTGTTTCAGAGCCCGTGTAAGATGGGCTCTCTCACGGATCCCTCTATCCCCGCTTCTGTTCAGGGAAGGGGCCATAGGGCCTGACGCCAGCGGTCCTTCTCCAAACAGGTAAACAGATGAGCATCGACCTCAGCATAAGGACCGAGTTTCATGAACAGCCTCGGCCTACCCCTGCTGGTATACTGGCTATCCATCACTCTTAGTGGTCACAGGGACCCTCTGGGGATGAAGATGCACTGAACCCAGGCAGGAAATCAGGCTCTAGTCTACCCTCACCTTGCTGACCAAGTTGCCTGACTTCCCTTGCCTCAATGTATCTGATGTTAAATGAGGAGGCTAGCCTAGAACAGACTTTCAACAAGTCTGAATCATGGATCTCCCTGAAAGAAAGTACAATTCTGCCTAGTCTAGATGTGTGGGAGCCCAGGCCTTACAAGATGGTGCTCAAAGGCCCTACCCAACTCTAATAAGCCATAACTCTGGGATTCCCTCCCAGAGCCCCAGTTCAAGACCAACAGAGTCACAGAATGTCCACACAAGGCAGCAAGCAGCAGTTTGAGATTCACAAAAGACAGACTACCACATCTGGGAAAACACTACTTCTGGGAGCACTTCCCACTTTCACTTCAAATGACAAAAGTTTGCATTCGAATCTGTGGGATCTTCAGTTTTAAGGGGACAGAAAGACTTCAGAGCATCTGCACTGGCAGACCAAACCCAAGTCTTTCTCAAGTTCTATAATCAGTTAGGAAAACCAACAGGCAATCTCAAGTTCACTTTTAAAAATCAGTCTATGTCTGCCTTGACCTTTTCCTCATGTCTTCCTCCCCTGTACAATCAGCTTAAGATACAACAGCACTGGTGCGATCCCCATTTTCCTATGAAATAGCACAGCCTAAGGTGCAGCCCAAGGGAACAAGGTGGGTCATCAGGGCAGGCAGATCCCCAGGACCATTGTCAAGGGCCTCAAGCTGGACACAGATACCATCTGCCCCAGACACTGAGGGCTATGAACAACACCCTGCACACAGGCTTTTGCCTTAGTCCACCCCACCCAGCACTCACCACATGGGGCCCACCATTTCAACTCACGTCTTGGGCTTCCTGGCGTGAGGAGGCTGCCCCCAGAGAAGTGGCTGGCTCCAACATTTGAGATGACCCGAGACCTGGAAGGTGGCAAGCTGGAACCTTTCGTTCTCCGTTCACCCACATGACCTGAGTGAAAGGTGTCCACGTGAGACAGAGACCAAAGGGGAGCTGATGGACCAGAGTGCCCTCCCTGTAAGAAGCCCCAGGCTTCAGGTGCCACCTATACCCTCAAACCTGCTACTGACCCCCAGCAACTGCCTCTCCATTGAGTATGTCTTGCAGCAAGAATGGTGGGCGGGAGCTTGGTTCTTTTTGAACTCTTTCTTCTCCAGGGTGGTACCCTCCTGCCCACTATGGGTCTCAGTGGATTCACATGCAGTTCTTACTTCTGAATCTCTGGACCTCTTCATGAAACATATCTGACTGCTAACCTGAGCCTTTGAAGGACAAACCGTTCAAAGATAGGCTTCTATATGCACAAGCACACCCAAAGGCAAAGAGCCTCTGCATACTGGAGTCCTCAAGGAGGTGCTTCCCTGACAGAGGCCTTTGCAAAGCAGTGGTTTGGCCTCAGGACAAATGTGGCCCCACTGCCCTCCAGCAGAGCCCAGAGAACCTGGCATGTAACAAGAGTCCAGGGAAACAAGATCTGCGACGGGCCAGGGGCACACTCTCTGTGGGGACAGGACCCCGCAACTTCCACATGGACCTGACTTCCACTCGGGGTGAGGCAGAGCACAGCTAATAAGTCATATGGACCACCCCCAGCAGCAGAAGAATGCATGTGCCATGGGTTGCCCCAACTCACCAAGGTGTCTGCAGGCCTGTGAGTCCTGCCATCTTCTAGGAATATGCTAGCAGCAGAACCACTGTAGGGCTCCCCACCTCTCTACACCCCTCCTGCCAGGCTTTCTTGGCCCCAGGAGAACCTCGGCCTCTTCTCAGCTGTGGCTGCTGTGGGCTCCTACCCCAGTGGGGCTGCTGCTTCCAGGCCAAGCTCCGTGCCAGGCACGTTCACACATCCACACGGGCCACATCCTCTGTCACCAGGCTCTCCTGCCACATCCTCTGTCACCAGGCTCTCCTGCTGACAGAGGTAGCCTTTTCATCTCGGCTGCCTAACAGACACTTCTTTCTTGAGAAAGGATCTAAAGTGAGATGGACACAGGGTGCCATCCTCCCACAGAGCACACCAGGTCTTCAAGCGGTTCTCAACAGGCACCTCCCCTTCCAGACCTGAGGGAACAGTAGCCTGAATTTCTAACTCTGAAATAGAGCTAGTGACCCCAAACACATTAGGGACATGGCAAGAAGACTGGCAAGGGCAAAGGTCCCAACATAGGGCAGAGAAAGGCAGAAACAGTAATTGTAGCAACCACAGAAGACTGAAGCCAACTCCAGTCAAAGTCTAGAAGAGGTCACTGTAGTGAGCAGACAGGCCAAGGCCATTTCCTCAAAGAACTCATGCTACAATCACTTTGAAAGGGTCTTCGCAGTGGTTGCTGGTAATCCTGGCTCCTGCTGGGCTTCTCTGCTGCCTCTACTGCAAGCCAGAGCCATTTCCTGGAAGTCAAAGTTCTGGAGGGCACTGGTGCTCAGCTGCCTTCTCCAGCTACTGTGCAGGTCACATAGAGAATCCCTGCTTGGAGCCTACCCCAAAATCTCCCAAAGCACACAGTGCAGTCAAAGGTGGGGCCAAGCCACCTGCTCAGCCTGAGAAATCCACTCTCACAGCCAAGTATTGGCTGCCATCACCTCTACTGGCCCAATGGCAGGGCTGTCCAAATTGGGGCAACTCTTTCTAGGGGAAGTCATTCTAGCTTGCCTATTTCCCTCTGTTCTTTTTCCTTCACTCTGATGTCAGGTCCATGACATGCAAGAGGACAGCAGTCTTGGCCACCATCTGCTCAGAGGTCCCTGCCGCATGTCCACAGATACACAGCCATGGCTTCTCCTGTGTGTCCCACCCTGTGCTGCCACATAAGCATCTGAACAGAGCTGCTCCCAGCTCTCCTCTTCTGAGAGTCAGACTCTTTTTCTCAACCAGCCACTGCTGTTCCTGTACTCTTCACAGGGCATTCCAGTCTCCGCTTCAAACCAAACCCAGTGGCCTCCGACCTGGGTCTGCAGAATACATTCTTCTCACCTCCATGGTATCCATTTTTGACCCTGAGCAGTAGCTTATGAGCTAAGTCTCATGGCCAAACTTATCTTCTGAGGTCCAGGAAGAAGTGAACCTCAAGGCAAGGTGGGTACCCTAACACTGTACCACTGCACTCGCTAGTCCTCCACTGCTGTGGCAAGGTGCAAGGGCAAAGGCTGCAACAAGTATGAACAGTCAGTGTTCTCCAAGAGCTCCCAGGCTGAGAGGGGACAGCAGGCAAACGTGGCCGGCAGTGAGGATGGGACAACAGCAACCTCCTCCAGGCCCAGCGCCAGAGTTTCAGGCACTGACAGGCATGGTCCAGGACCCTAGGCCCTGCTGCTTTCCATGTAATAGGCACAGGACATACACCACCGAGGACCCCAAATACTTCAGTTTCCTGCCCACCAGCTCAGAGCTAGTCCATGAGCCCCTACCTCATTTCTTTTCACATGAATTCACTACAGGGGTCAGAAGCTTGTAGAGTGATGTAACTTGACAGGCTCTCAGTCACATCCTGAGGACCAGCTCCAAGAAAGAGCAAGCGTCACACCCAGCAGGTGGGCACATAGCACCCCTACCCACTGTGAGTTGGCAAGAGATCCATCCCACACCTGAGAGGAACCCGATGACTCCATGCGTTTTCTCAACCACCTTAATATCATGGCCGTTCCATCACAGGTGAGGAGGCCTCTGGACCACCTGCATCTGACTGAGGTGAGCACTGGCCTATTTTAAGCCTGGTGACATGCACCTAATAGGCAGAGACCATGCAAGTTGCTCCAAGCTCAAGATCAGCCCACAGTGGGCTGGCAGAGTGGCTCAAGAGGGAAGAGCACCTGCCTAGCAAGTGTGAGGCCCTGAGTACAAACCCCAGTACCACCAAAAAAAAAAAAAAAAAAAAAAAGATCAGTCCACATAGCCCATGGGGAGGGTGACAGTCATTCTTGGAGCTCAGGCTCACAGAATGGATGATGGCAACAGCTTCAGCAGTGAGACCAGCAGGAGCACACGGTCACTTCATGGATGAAGGATGCTGTAGGGCCTCATTTCCATTTTCTCTCACTGTCTTCATACTTAAAAGAGTGCTGATGTGTTGAAGGGTAGGAAAATAAACTGGGTGAGCTGAACTCAAACTTACACACTTTCTCAAGGTAGGGGGCAGGTGCCAAGGTGCTGTTTCATCAGGGCATAATCTGCCATCTGAAGTTGACACAGATTCTTCCACTTCAGTGAGACTGAAGGTGACATCAAGGACCAACACATTTTCACTGTGACTGAAATTCCCTCCCAGCACGCAGGGCTTCCCACACAGCCCCACAGCAAAGTAAAGCACACCACCACTAGGTGTCAGCTCTATACTTGGTTGCTTGTCTAAGTCAATCACCACTGGCTGCCTTTGAAGTGTGCACTTTGCTGTCATACCTCCCTTCAGAACACAGAAGCTCAACCTGGGAACATCTGCCCTGACACCTGCCTCCCTGAAAGGCTCCTACAGGAGGGCTTCAGAAACGATCCCTGGCTCCTACCTGATCCCTCACTGACCTATCTCACAACCATGATCACCGGGTAAAAGAAAACAATGCAGGTCTTGCAATTCCCACATAAGGAAAGCTAGCAGGAAAGAGAACTGGAAAGAGGCTGCTGAAAAAGTCAAAGGGCCTGGGAGGAGAGGCCACTGAGCAAGATCCTAGGATTCTAGGAGTCCTGGACTAAGATGGCAGACACCCACATTTCTGTTGGCACATCTCTGTCAGCAGCACCAATGTCCTTGCTTGACCTCCAACTGGAACATGTGCTGTGAATGCAGCCAGCCAGCTGCAGGAACTAGGCCGAGGCGGAGGCTTTGTCCTACGGCTGTCACCCTGAAGTCTCTCATAGCCATCATACAATTTGCTGCCACATGCCTGCTACACCGCATGGAATAACCAATTTTATAAAGAAATGAAGACCACATTTTTTTTCTGAAAAATGCAAAATTTACCAAGGAAACCCAAGCACAGCGGAACGCACATGTGGTGCTGTGTACAGCTCGTGTCCTCTGTCAGCAGTGCTCCCTCCCACCACACACACAGGAGTCCCTAGAGCTAGCTATCTCAGACTCTCCCATGGGCTTATCTCTCCCTTGCAGGCAAAGTATGAAAATGACAATTTAAGATAACATATAATGGAACCCATCTTTCTTCTGAAGATAAGATTTTAAAACCTGGAGTCACTGCACATTTGTGGGCTGGTGAATTAAACATAAAACTAACCACTGTGGTCTCAGAAGCAGGGTACCTCCTGCAACTCCCCAGTTGCATAGGCTCTTAAATCATGTCTGCTTCTCACATGTGGCTCATTTATTTCTCCAGAACCTATTTGGTTTTGCTGTTTCCACATTGTCTATTTTCCAGGCTGCCTCGGATTCTACATTTGTAAACAAACAGGCAGAAACCTCAAACCAAACTTAATAAGCCGTATGTTGTTTCTCTGCCGCTGCCGCTGAGGCTCTGCTGACCCATGCTGTCGGCACAAGGTGGATGTGGCCCATGGGGCTCCAGATTTAAAATAAAAGCTGGATTTTGAGGAATGGAAAAATCCCTAACAAAATGAGAGAGTTCTGAGTCCCATCTTCGCAAACTCGGCTCAAGAAACCCCAATAGCTGGCTTGTTGTGCTTCCTATTTTGCCAGAATAATTCCCCACCTTTCAGAGAACCCTATAGGCAAGGCCAGTGGGTGTGTGGCTGGCCCTACAGAGTCCCATACTGGCCTCTACCCTGGGGTGGGCATGAGCAGACACCTGGCCTATGCCTTGATGCCTCTGCCCACCGGCTCCTGCCCCATCACAGCCCCCAGTGGAGCCTCTGGAAAGGACCAGGCTCCTCAGCCTCAGCCAGGCACACTCCCAACACTGGCCCAGGCACAGGTGAGCAACCACTAATACAATGTCACAGTGCTCAGAAGAAATACACTTCTCACTCCCTATTCCTGAGCTGCATGGAAGTTTTGGAATGTCTGTAGGCTGGAACTCCAAATGAGAAATTCCTTCTGGAACCTTGAGGATAGTCACAAAGATGACCCATGGGCAGCATCAAGAAACATAATGCAGGCAAACCTGAGATGACTTATGCTCTCAAATCCTGACCAGAAGTCAGGAACCCAATGCTTGGTACCAGGCTCAGTGGCTGAGGTCAGGCCCTCAAAACCATGCTGATCTGAATCTTGCTGAATTTCTACCAAGTGTGTGATGCCCATGGTGCAGCTGTCCCTCCCACTCTTGCTGGATAGATGAGCTGTCACTGGAGAAATGGTACAAAACCAGGCAAAGGCTCTTACCCACGTTGGCCAAGGTCAGGTGCAGTCGACCCTTCACCACCATGTGGACACCGATGGGTTTGATGCTGCCAAACCTGGCCACATCTCCACTCACCACCATCATGTCCTGTTCATACTCAGTTGCCACAATCTCAAGCTCATGTGAGACCTGCACAGCAGGACGCCCTTGGCGGAGGAGATGCTGTGAAAGGGAGACAGTGCTCAGAATACGGGGTCTGACAATGGCCACTTCCGGGTGGCCTACAGAAAAGCAGCTCCCAACCCAAAGAGAAAGGCTCCTGAAGAGGCAGAAGGGAAAACTGTGAAGGTCAGAAACCTAAGGAGCCTAACCACATACCACATCGTGGGGAGATGGGGTAGAGGCCAACTCTTTTCTTTTTTCTTGGCTGTACTCAGGTTTGAACTCAGGACCTCATGCTTGCTAGGCAGGTGCTCTACCACTAGAGCCACAAAGACCACTCCTGTGTTTGTGTTGGGTAGTTTCAAGATAGGGTCTCACAAACTATTTCCCTGGGGCCTCCTGATCCCTGCCTTCCTGAGCAGCTAAGATTACAGGTGTGAGCCACCAGTGCCCAACAAGGCCAACTTCTTAAAAGCTCATGAGGCTCTCCATGTCAGGCTAATGCTGGCCAGGGCAGAGTGAGCAGAGAAGTCCCAACCCAGGACAGGCTGAGCAGGACTCTCTGTACCACATCTTCTGCTTTTCACATTTTAATCCTTAGTCTTCTGTCTGAGCCCACATGCACATGAGGCATGCTGGAGGATGGCAATGCAATCACAGGCTCTAGACCAGCCTGGACTTTCTCCACTGTGTGGTCTTGAAGTCACTGGCCCCCTTTGGACTACAGCTGCCTCACACGTAAGCAGAAGAGTGGGGCCAGATGAAGGCCCCAGCTTCTGCATTCTCACATCTTTCCTATAGCAGCAAAAGCTCCTGTCTCTGGGAGTAGAAACATGCAGACCTACGCCATCCTGATGGGCCTGGGCCTGGGCCTGGGCCTGGTCTCTAGCCTAGCAATACATCAACTCCACATAGCCACAGCTCGGGAGCCGTAGGTGCCAGAACACAGGAGACTCCTTTGGAGAATGGAAATAAATTTAAGAAACGATGTTCGGCCTCACTAGGAAGCAAGGGAGCATGAGTAAAGCAAGGTATCTCTCACCTGTCAAAACTGCAAGGATGGTTACAAAGGCACATGGCACCCAGGATGGCCTTCTGAGTCCAGGCACTGCAGTCACTGTTCTGCCTCCTCCCCACCTCCACCCCTCAGCCGTAACAGTTCTGGAGACACTGTGCAACAGATGCAAGGGGCCCCCATCCTCAACCCAGGAGCTGTAACGATAACTTTAAGCTGGCCCTCTGGCGTGCCTACCCTGCATGCAGAATACTTAAGGAAAAAACCCCAAGAAGAGGAAGGAATGGACGACTCAGTAACAGTGTAAGAAGAGAATGGACACCCATGATCAGAAAGAGCTAGAATCTAATTCTAACCGGAGTTAGAATTAACAGGTAACAGGAACCTAGTAACGTTTTCACACTCAGGAATTCCTTCCATCCTCAGGGCCACCTCTGAGGTCTAGCTCCCAGCACCACAGTGACGTGACGAGGGAAACCTGGCATCTGCCCTCAGGGAACTTATGTCATCACCTTCAAGGAACTAGAAGGTAATGGTGCAGGAGAAGAGCTCACCAGAATTTAGAGCTCACTGAAGGATTTAGGCTTGGTGGGGAGCTTGTCCTTTCAGAGGGCAAAAGACATGGCACTGTTTTAAATTAATGAGAAGCATTCCGGGGCTGGGTGGTGACAGCACTATGGGTCTGTTCCGAGGGAAGACCACTACCTTCATGTGGACAGCAGCAGATCCTATGAGGAGCAGGGAGTCTCCATCCCAGACATCTATCTGAAGGGTCTGTACAGCCAGGTAGTTGATGAACCAGTGCTGCTCACCAGGTTTCAGAAAACCGGGGCCCACCATGTACCTCAGCTGGAAACCAGGAGACGCTGCACAAAAGAGGTTCAAATGAGTCCAGAAGTAATTGTACTCATTTATCATCTGTACATGTTGAAGAGGTTTCTGCTTTGGTCATGATTACTGATTTCTGTTTCTGTCATGGCGACAGGTAATAAACACATTAATCAAAACCATCATAAAATATCCAAATTAACAAAACGAAGAGTTGTGTGTAGAAGGCTATGCTTCCTTCCAAAGTACACAGTAAGATCCCAAAATAAGATTCACACTTTCCACCAAGTCCTTGTAAAACAGCCATGATGGGTGGGAACAATGACCAGAGGAGGCTCACCAGAGAATTTATTATTCCGGGCACACAGAGTTTAAGAAGAAAACATAGTCTACATCTGCTGTCAAAACTTGGATATTTGCATAGACACATACACACACAGACACGTGTGCACATGCACGCACAGAGACACATGCATGCACAGACACGCACATAGAGACACGTACACACACACACACACACACACAGAGCTGAATCAGAGATGGAGTTTCAAACCTGCCATGCCGCAACCCAGAATCCCTGGCCTGCCCTCATGCAGGACAGAGAGCACCAGCCCAGTGGGCTCACAGGCACCTCCTCTCTGAGGCCGCACATGCCTGTCAGGCTGAGCAATGCAAACTGGGCTGCAGTCCCTGCCTTCATCTTCCTAAAATAACACTACCATTAATTCTAAATTGACAAAATGCCACTGAAATCACCATTAGTTAAAGAGCAGGGAACAGTCATGCTGAGAAACACATTCAAAATGATGTCTTCCCCTTTCTGTCAATAACAGTAACAATATTTCCGAAGCACCCACAAGCAGAACCCTCACCTCTGGGGAAGAGGGGTAAGTGCTCAGACGCACACTGGGCTGAGCTTCACATACAGTTTGGCATAGTTCCCTTCAATGAAACCATTTTTGGCCACTTCTGTCCCACGATATTGACCACAGACCAACACCCCATCTGCTCCCCTTAAAACCAGTTATGTGATGTTAGTGGAGGGGGTGACATGGAGATAGGACACAGCCTGAGACCTTGCTTCCAGTCCTGGGGGCCAAGGTGGACTGGTCCCAGGGAAATGGAACAAGGGCCTCTGCTTAGGCCTGGCTCTGGCCACAGAAGAGTGTAAATTTAGAGGTAGCTTGGCTCACATGGTGGAAAGGCAAGTACAGAATGGGGACAAAGACAAAGGAGGAGCTGGCAACAGATGTCATACAGCAGGCAGGCATGTACCTTATGGCATCTCAGAGGTGACCAGACCAAGCCACCTCCAACCCCAGTCTGGCCCCACCAGGAAGCTCTAAGGACTCAAGAGTCTGTGGCATCTGATTAGAACTCAGGACATACCCACATTTAGATGGCAACACTGTGTCGGCTTCCCATCCTTCTCAGAGGTTCAGTGGGCCCTGGAGCTGACCATGAACAACAATGCTAGACCTCACCACCACTCCCATCTGCTACTGCGGATCTAGGCTGCAAAGGAAGGCAAAGCAAAGGCCCTCCTCCATTCAGGCCAGACCTCTGCAGGACACTCTTCCCACTCCCACCTCAGCCTCTCCTACACACAGGCCCAACCAGAGTCCTAGGGGCCCCTGAGCTAGCTGGACCCCTTCCTTCTTCCCTAGCCAACTCTTCCCAAAATCCTTGGGTAAACCTCTATGCCATCACCACAACACCTCGCCAGCTGCCAGTCCCCAACAGTACCATCAATCCACTCAACAAACTGGCTGTGCCCTGCATCCCCACTGGCATGGCTCTTATGACCTGGGGTGGGGGCTACTACTGAATGCAGAGCAAGCATGCACTGAGTGCTCTGAGGGATATGCAGAAACAGGGCCGCCTGGTGTCGAGGTCACAGGGTGCTCAGAATAGGCCTACACCTCTTCCCACTACACGGAAGAGTGCTGCACTCCTGTCCATTCCTGATCCAGCACGTGACAGCACTGCCAAATCACGTACCCATAGAACCTTATGTGGTCCCCACCCACTCAGACCGTGGTGACACCAGCTAAGTGGTGCACTAAGAACAGGCGTGATGAGCCTGGCATCTTCTTCCCCAAGCTTGTGGCCTCTGTTCCCCACAACTCCATGCCTGATCTGCTGGATCCTCGTGGCCTCCTCATCCAGCTCCATAGCCCCATGACTAAATCCAAGCCCAGGTCTGGGTGGATGCACTTTCCTCTGATTCAACCCCACCCTCCATCACAATTCACAAGTACATACTGCTCAGCGCAAACAGCCACAGCTCCCTTGGGTGTCAGAGACTTTACAATACCAGAATCGAGAACTCAGAGTAAAGAACTGTACTAGCAATGACAACCTATGCACCAAGTGAAGCAGGAATCCAGAGATGCAGGGAGATGGGTGAAAGCACAGTGATGACAGACAGCTACTTTGCACTCAGAGGCAGACCAGTGGACAATAAGAAGAAGGAAGCAGAAGACCAGAACAGCTAATCCATCTGCAGATACATATTGAGCACTGTGTTCCAGTAATCGAGAGCCTCTTTCCAGGTGCATTTTGAACATTAATAAAACACAAAATATATCAAGCTGCAAAGCAATGTCCCATAAATAGAAATAGAAATTTCCCATAAACTAGAAATTTAACAAATATTATTCTCTGATCACAACACAGTAAATGAGAAATTTTAAAATGTTCAAAACAAACTCATGACTTAATCATAAAATATCCATGTTAAAGGACAAAACACAACCAAAAAAGATCTTCTAGAAAATGAAAATAATGAAAGAGGGTGTGATGCCTCACATCTATAATCTTAGAAATTCAAATGGCCAGAAAACACATGAAAATATGCTCACCATCTCTAGCAATAAAGGAAATGCAAATTAAAACCACGCTAAAATTCCACCTCACCCCTGTTAGAATAGCCATCATCAGCAACACCACCAACAACAGGTGTTGGCGAGGATGCGGGGAAAAAGGAACCCTCTTACAATGTTGGTGGGAATGTAGACTAGTACAACCACTTTGGAAAAAAATTTGGAGGCTACTTAAAAAGCTGGACATCGATCTACCATTTGATCCAGCAATACCACTCTTGGGGATATACCCAAAAGACTGTTACTCCAGAGGCACCTGCACATCCATGTTTATTGCGGCACTATTCACAATAGCCAAGTTATGGAAACAGCCAAGATGCCCCAGCCCTGACGAATGGATTAAGAAAATGTGGTATCTATACACAATGGAATTCTATGCAGCCATGAAGAAGAACGAAATGTTATCATTCGCTGGTAAATGGATGGAATTGGAGAACATCATTCTGAGTGAGGTTAGCCTGGCCCAAAAGACCAAAAATCGTATGTTCTCCCTCATATGTGGGCATTAGATCAAGGGCAAACACAACAAGGGGATTGGACTTTGAGCACATGATAAAAGCGAGAGCACACAAGGGAGGGGTGAGGATAGGTAAGACACCTAAAAATCTAGCTAGCATTTGTTGCCCTTAACGCAGAGAAACTAAAGCAGATACCTTAAAGCAACTGAGGCCAATAGGAAAAGGGGAACAGGTACTAGAGAAAAGGTTAGATCAAAAAGAATTAAGCTACAAGGTAACACCCACGCACAGGAAATCAATGTGAGTCAATGCCCTATATAGCTATCCTTATCTCAACCAGCAAAAACCCTTGTTCCTTCCTATTATTGCTTATACTCTCTCTACAACAAAATTAGAAATAAGGGCAAAAATAGTTTCTGCTGGGTATTGAGGGGGGGAGAGAGGGAGGGGGCGGAGTGGGTGGTAAGGGAGGGGGTGGGGGCAGGGGGGAGAAATGAACCAAGCCTTGTATGCACATATGAATAATAAAAGAAAGATGAAAAAAAAAAAAAAAAAAAAAGGACTGGAGGAGTGACTCAAGCAGTAGAGCACCTGCTTTGTAAGTGGGAAGCCCTGAGTTCAAACCCCAGCCCCACCAAAAAAAAGAAACGCAAACATCATAACTGGGCACCAGTGGCTGATGCCTGTAATCCTAGTTACTCAGGTGATTGAGATCAGGAGGATCGTGGTTCGAAGCCATCCCAGGCAAATAGTTCTGCATTTAAAGTATTGTTATGTCTATAACTTGCTTTCACACAGTTCGGGGGAAAGATTAATGGATAGCTGAAGCAAGTATTCCATAAGGCACCGATGTGGTTTCTGGAGGTGAGGACTCATGGAGTTGAGGCTCCTGGAGGGCACGGAAGAAACAGGACCCAGTAACAAGGAGACTGATGAGGTCGTGCTCTGTGTCCACACAGAATGGCTGTCAGTCTGATGGGTAAGCTCTGGTCTGGAAGATGGACATATTCTTCAGAATGGGTCTTGGCTGACCCAAAATTCAACAGCTTCAATTCTTACACTAAGAAAGAATCCAAAAGACAAAACAGCAAGAGGAACATGCTAGACTGAGTCCAGGCCAGGAAATAAAAAGGCAGGCAGGCACCAAGCATGTGTTGGAAAGCAAGGACCAAAGCAAGCAGATCAAAGCACAAATCCTGCAGAAGCTTCCTAAAAGAACCAAGGATGTTAGGAAGCAGAAAATGCTAGAGGTGTGTGCCATGTCTGAGAAAAAGAAAAGCAGCTCACAACTCAGAACACTAACAGATAAACCAATGTCTCAGGAACCCTACACAAAGGAATCCCTCCACCCCGCCTCACCACACATGGGTTCCAGAAGCTTCAGTTCAGGAGGCTAGAGTTGTCTGCTGGACCAGTGTGGCAGGGCACTGTCACACATGATAAAGGCTCTGCTAAGAACATGGCAGTGCCTGAAACATGACTTTCTACGAGGAGATCCTGCCATCAAGACAGGACATGGCATGGTGAAGTTAATCAAGGGTTGAAAACTGGCTTGTTTTCTACATTTGGTGGATACGGGGTCAGTGCTTTTAAAATCTTTATGTCCTATTTACTTAGCACTCTTTAAGTGATGGATATGAACTTTGAACTCTATCTCACACAACACAGAAAATCAAGCCCAGATGGAGTTTATCT